CAAAACATTTGCTTTCTACTTGAGCCCTTGGTATCAGCTCCTCATTTTCCCCTCCCTCCCAGCTCCCCCCTCCCTCATGAACCCTTCATAATTGAGAAATTATTATATTTTCATGTCTTACACAGTGCAACATCTCCCTTCATCCATTTTTCTGTTGTTCATCCCCCAGGGAAGAGGTTATATGTAGATCCTTGTTATCGGTTCCCCCTTTCCACTCCAACCTCCCTCCACCCTGCCGGTATCGCCACTCTCATCACTGATCCTGAAGGGATCATAGGTACTAGATTCCCTGTTTTTTCCAGTTCCTATCTGTACCAATGTACATCCTCTGGTCTAGCCAGATTTGTAAAGTAGAATTGGGATCATGATGGGGGTGGGGAAGCATTTGGGAACTAGAGGAAAGTTGTATGTTTCATCGTTGCTACACTGCACCCTGAATGGCTCATCTCCTCCCCGTGACGCTTCTGTAAGGTGATGCCCAGGACCCTTCTTATAGTGACTTCTTTGACCACAGAGAAGTATACCTCTGAATGCTCTGCTCTAACATGGCACAGATGGAGGCTCTGCCAAACTCAAAGAGACAATCAAAGAAGAAATGACTGTACCAGTTAGTTCCTGCTCTCACGACCTTGTTCCCCTGTGCACAAGCTCACAAGAGCTTTTAAGATCCCCCTTGCTACTCCCCAAAGTAGGATGCAGAAACTTGTTTGTATGACTTGTTGCATCCCGAGACTATGGACCCGATTCCCCAGGCCCAGCTACTCATTCTCTCAAGGTTATGGCTAAGAAATTTGGTAACTTTGCCCTCTCAGTACTCCACCATATTTAGGTATATATTTGTAGCAAAGGTAACTAGACACACACAAATCTCCTCTGTCAAATCTATATATATTCATGAGTATACTCCTACTCTTCCTCTCGGATTTGCTCAGCCATGTGTCTATCCAGGCATTTGCTTATCTCAAACTCACTGCCATTGAGTCATAACCATCTATGGCAGGGTAGAACTGCCCCTGTGGGTTTCAGAGACTGAAAATCTTTATAGAAGTAGGAAGCCTCATCTTTCTCCCAAGGAGAAGCTGGTGATTTCAAACCACTGAAGTTGAGGTTAGTAGCCCAATATATAACCCACTACTCCACCAAGGCTCATGTATCTAATCATAGATAACCATTATTGCAGGGTTGTATATTACAATATATACTTTTTTTCAAAAACTTTTTTTCAAAGCTATGTATTTAAATTTTTTTTCAACAAAACAACCATATCACCTTCAAAGAATTCTCCATTACACTTAATACATTTGTCCAATCTGCGATTCCATTCTTGAAGACATTTTTCATACTCATCTGTTTAGATGGCTGACAGCACCTCCTTCATTTTTTTCTTCACCACTTCGACATCATTCACCAATGATGTATCCTTTCATATCCCTCTTCATTCATGGAGATAAAAAAGTTTCACTGAACGAGTCGGGTGAGTCATGTGCGTGGGGCAAGAGAGGCATGTTGTTTTTGCCAAAAACTGGCACACTGAGATGGCTGCATGAGCTGGTGCATTGTCGTGGTGGCAAAACCAGTCTCCCATCTACCAAATATCAGGCCTTTTTTGGTCACACATTGTTATGCAATCTTTTTAGAACCTCTAAATAGAAAGCTTGATTAACAGTCCGAGCTGGTGGAACAGACTCCAAATGCATTATCCCCCTCACATCAGGAACACAAATAGCCCACAGTGAAAACATAATTGGAGACCAAGAATGGAAGTCTCATGATTTTTCAATGTGTCAATGTTTGTCAGATTAAAAGAAAACTTACCAGGCAAGGCCTTAAGCTATCTCTCCCCATAGGTTCAACAAGCATTTTTCTCATGAGCGAGGTACATTTCTGCCTAGAGTCAGCAGCACCTAACAACGACAACAATTACTACTTTGTTGAAGTACCTAATTCTTGTTTGGTAGTCTTAATCTTTAGTCATTTCTTAATTCATTCAATTAAAAAAATCTTCTATGTCTATCCTTTAAAAAGAAAAGAGCATCATCTTGATCTTTGATTTCACTTGATGAGCTTTTTATGGACAAGGTGATGATGGCATCTTCCACTGGCTTTATTGATGTTTGCTTTCAGGGTCATAAGAATAGCACCATGTCTCATCACTAGTAATGAATGACCTTGGGGAAAAAAGTCTGTATCACTTCGGAGCTGTTCTAGCCCAGCACGGCATGTTTCCACTTGATACTCTTACTCAGTCAGTAAGAACCCGAGGCACACATTTTGCTGTGGCCTTCTCATTCAAAACTCTTCCATTAAAATTCACTGAAGTGAGATCCTAGGTAGTCCAGATAACTTCCTTATCTTTTCAATGGTCCGTCATCAGTCTTCAAGCACAATTTTGTCGACATTTTTGATGTTTGAGAGGTTGATGGAGGTCCAGGATGAGGTTTGTCATCAATCGACATTTCACCATTTTTGAAACAAGAAAACCACTCATACACATGAGTTTTTCCCATAAAGCTGCCCTTGTAAGCTGTATTCAACATCACAACAGTTTATGTGACATTTTTCTCAAGCAGGAAAGACAATTTCACAGCCACACTGTTCTCTTAAATCAGCCATCACAAAAATGGGGCTTGAGTGAAACTTCTTTTATGTAAAAAATTCACTGTGACCAGAGAGAACTTTCCCAGGCGCTGCCACTGGGGGCCCTAACTCAGAGCAAGTTGCTCTATGCTTGCCTAGCTGGAATGGGGTGAGGGTGGGAGCGAATGCATTCTATGAAAGCTCTGCCCAGTGAGCTATTTTCCATTTTTTTGTGGGTACCCCCTCATATAATGGCATTCACCTCTGTTGCTTTAACCCTTGAAAATTTCACAGTGTGTTCTCCTCTCTCTCTCTTCATTCACTTGTCTAAACTTGTCTACCCCTTAGTCAGAGACTTCCCCTCCTTCCCTT